TAGGCGATTTATTCGTCAATAAACTTTTTAATTAATTGCAAATTTTAATCAAAACCTTTTTTTATCTTTAAGGCGAGCACCACCAAGCCTTTAGGTGGGCTGCCCTATTGAAGGGCTATCGTCCACCGACTTTAGTGCTAAAAGACAGCGGGTCAGTGTGCAGTTCGGGTATCAGAGTGAATAGCACGCGATTGGGCGGGCAATTGCCTGATCTGATTCGCGCGAAGCATCGCGGTAGTAGTGATTCCAGTGATGTCCGTGACTTCGCTGAATTGAATACGGAAGTCATTGGATCAAAACCGGATGCTCTCGACGCACATGAGATTCCTCGACCGACACTATCTTCGGAGGGTCCCAGCCGTTCCATTTTGGTTTGTGGGATGTTGCTTCCATAGTCTTAGTTTGTTTTTACAATTTAGCCTAATTTAAGTTGTGGTCTTAAAATCATAAGAACATAAAGTGGACCTTGCGGAAGGATCTAAATCGACTTTAAACTATCTACCATGTTTTAGATTCTTTCGTTACCTCCTTTACCTCAATTCAGAATAATGTTTTGGATAGCAATAAAAATAGATAAGTACGGTGTTACACTTTAATGAGAATGTTGACAGATGCATGGTCGCATACCTAGACGGGTAAGCCCTACAATTACCGACGGGCAACGACCTCCGAATTAGGCGGAGTGAGACGAACTGACGTACAGCAAGTGGTCCCTGTTCCTGGTGGTGGTTTTCGTTCTCGCGCCGGGGCTTACGAACTTGGTGCGTCCTCACCACGATTACAGGATTGGTGTGCTTCTGGTACCATGTCAGTGTCAAGAGGACGTACTTGCGCTCGCCGCAGTGCCCTTCGCGGTTCTGGACTCTTTGGCTCTAGCCTCAATATATCGCAGTCTCTGGACCCCCTTAGAAGGTCTCAAGAAGCCCAACGGATCCATGATGACTGGTCTGAATTCAAGAAAAGCCTTTCCCATCCTACTACACCTTCTACCATCGAACCTGATGCAGAGACTCTAAACGGCAGTCTCTCTATCCACCCCTCTGCCGTGATGACTCAATCGGGTCATGAGTTCAATAATTTCTCCTGTAAAGAACGTGAGGATAGTCTCTCCTCTTTTATGGACTGGAATTTGCGCAAATCACAACAAAGTCTCATCAGTGTGGATATGGACAAACCGATCGCCAGTTCTGTGATAAATGTGCAACTGGAGAAGGTTGCTGATGAAACCTATGGTCTTAAGTTCGTCGAGGGACACGTAAGTTCGTCCTCTAAATGATTGTTCTTTTTTCCTGTGAGGAAGCAGTGCATTGAGGATCGTTGGAATGAAGTACCAACCTTGAGGACAATTTCTCTCTTACATTACGTATGAGAGAGTGCCTTTGAGGTGTGCTGAAGTGTCGAAAGCTCAAAAAAAGTACCCATGAATCGCCCCTGACTGAGGGTGTTTTTTGGAAGACCATAAACAAAAAAGGCGTACAACAGTTGCCCATTTTTGTTATCGTCGTCCCCAAAGTACACCAACAAAGTAGAAGCAACGTTGAATTTTCGGTTTTAGATGACACGATTTAGTCAACTGGGGGTCTACGTGAAGTCGATCACTCCAGACACTCCAGCTTCGCGTGGAGATGTCCGGTTGGGGGACCGAATACTCGCCATCAACGGAAAAGATGTTACTGGGATGACGTTCAAGGAGTGAGTTTTGATGATCTCATCCTGACCCTTATTTTGTTGGTTTCGATGACTTCAGCAGGTTCAACTCACTTAATAAGTCAGTACAGCGGCTCTTTGTTGGTGGGCTATTAGAGCCGATCCTCCGTGACTTTGGCAACAGGCCGAGTGGAATCTGTAATGCAGCTGTATGATAGACTGCACAACCAGATTTGGCTGCGCCAAGGACGTGCGGCTCTTGAAGGAGGCTTCTTTTAATGACCCTACCATTAAGAGGGAATCAAATGCTTTCCATATTTCCCTTAGGGTGCTTGGAGCCCGCGCAGTGAGAACTGTATTTCCTTTTTCCTGCTAAGCTTTGTCAATGTTGAAAGAGTTAAGAGACCATCCAAGCCACTCCCTATTAATCTGCCGCCGTACTTTCTGGCATTAGAATGGTTGTATTTAGAATTCCTGAGGGATACTGATGATGAAATCCATTTAAAATGGATATTTGACCATCAGCTTCACGAATGCAGGCTTGGGCTATCTGAAGGATCAGTGGGCCGTCGTTCGACGCCGAAGTTTTGTCACTATGGCAGCAATGTGACCAATGAGTTAGATGTTAATAAACCCTCGGTAACGAAGTGTGGTGGTTTACAAGCTTAATTTGATCGCGTTCTTCATGCTTTTTGGTGTCTCTGTTGGTGGTAGGTGGGTGGGATAGCGAGTGCACATCCTCGTGATCAACAGTGTTTAGCTGACGACATCTTTGATGTCTACAAGGGCAGTGTCACTGTAGAGTATCAAACATTTAAACTAGCCTTTATGGAGCAAGTGGAACAAGTGACACACCTTACTTAGTCTCCATCATTCATTTTATTATCCCAACACAGCAGCAATTACTCTACGAAGTCGCCCTTTAATATTAATACAGTGTCGTCAAAATTAGGTTACTTTGGGGCTTTGGGTTAAATCAAGTTTACATACTTTTGGAGCTTAGCCGCGCAAAGCTTCTGTGATGAAGGCTCAACTTTTGCCATTGCGAGCAAACTTAAGTGGATATGATGAAATTAAAGGAAACTGTGTGGCCAATTCGTTCGCTGGACTTATTCAGCGGAGCTGAATTGTCTCGAGCATTAGTTACGCTCATTGTCATAGAATGACATCTTGCACTTAGAGTTGAGCTGGGATTTGAAGAGGCATATCATTGCGTCCTCAACCTTCTTCACGCATACAATGTAGTTGACTCTGCTCTTTGAGGAACTGCTGTATTTTGTGTGCATGTCTATCGCGAGAGACAGACTTGGTTAGTTGAGGAGTGGGGTCAACAAGTGTAAAACATTGGCGGTGGCTAAAGAAAAGAAGCATGATCGAAAAAACTTCAATAAAGCACCGTGGGTTTCAGTGACAACGACAGTAGGTGAAGGGCGTATCGCACTTACAGCGCCTTCATATTTTAAGCTCGTGAAATCAAAAGTTCAAAATTGACTCAGGTCGCATTCCTACTGTTCTATATGCTTTTCATAGTGTGGATAAGCTGAGCAAATAAAATACCATTTCTCCTTCTCAAAAGGCTTCAAACTCTCCCCTTTCTCCATAGAACTTGTGACCTTCTAAAGGATTGCGTCTCGCGAGTGACGCTGACAATTCAACGAGGCCTCGTTGAGAATCCAGACGACCTTCTCTACACATGAGATTGTTGAACTTGCCAAATCCACCCCCTCATTTACTGACTCCACCTGTCAGCCTACGTCTTTCGTGTATTTTTTTGTGTTTGCTCCTATCACGTATTCTATTCTCCTCGTACCCTCCTCTCTCTGCACAAAGCACTGCATGATGAAAGGTAAAGCGACTGCTTCAACTACAGTATCCCTCCCCTCCCCTCGCCCACTACGCTGCAACCTACTGCTGACCTGGTTTACATTTTCATTTTTTAATGCTTACGCATCGTCATATTTTAACTTATGCATAGTTTATAGAGCGAATGGTCAATTAAACTTTCCAACAATGTCCACCCAAACCTTTTCAATTTTGAAGGCGATCTTCATCGTGTTTGATGCTGTAGCAAAAAAAGCATAAAATTGATCTGAAGCTGTCTAACCAGCACAAAGTGTAGTCGAAAAGATGGTTAAGATGAAACCCCACTTTGAAATAAAGGCGTGCAAGGACATGCATAGCGATGGGCAAAAAGGTGACGCAAGTGTTGCTGCAGGTCGAGAGACGGTAGATGGCGAATCACATGAATCGAATCGGTATCTTTATCATCAAAGTTCACATGTGTTATCAGGGTCTTTGCTCTGCCTTTGCATCGCCTTATGAAGTCTACGAGATCAAAATTGTGCTGTGTAATGCGTGGTTGTTCCACTTCGTGCCGTTAACAGATTGGTTGAGTTGAAAACACTAAATTCGTTAGAGAACATTCTTGGTTTTAGTATCAGTTAGATTGGTAAATAGAAGTAAACAGATCCGGTGCAGACTGGGCAGCTTCAGCGGAATGACCTCAAATGTACCATTTGAGTGGGCAGTGTTAGTGCACGGAGGACCCTGTGGTCAAGAAGCAGCCACTTGGTCTTACAAAATCGAATGACAAAACATTCGATTTTGAACGAAGAGCTGACATTTGAATGGACGGCAAACCTGGAAGACAAGCATCCTTCAGCTGAGGTGGCGTTCTTTTAAACAGGTTCAGCAGAAAGGAGAGCTGGCAATTTACAGATACTGTTTATGCTTGTACGGCTTTTACTTCCATCAAATTTACCATTCTCGTATCTCTCACCGAAGAAGGAGGTACTTCAATGGTTTGAATTGCCATTGTCTCACACGACACCACCGGAAATGCATCACTGCATGCCTAGGGTGGCCTTGATAACGTCGCTTGTAGCACAAAACGGCGAAACTGTCTTCACTGCTAAGCACCAGTAAAAGCCCACTCTCAGGCCTTGTCATCGCAACTGCCGTGCGTGGAAAGCAAAATTCACCCACTCACAATTACTCCCACGCGATCATGTGATGACACTTGTCTTCGAATTTCATACCAAATATTATTCGTCTTTGTAATGCATTTAATCACCTCATTCCACCCTTGTTCAATAAATGGTGTTGATTAATTATGCCTTTTGCGTTTTATCTCAGCTTTGAAAATGGCTGAAGCGACCTTGACAGATCACTTGATTGGTTGCGTCTTGGCACGTAGGCGGATGGTTTGACTCCACACCAAACGCCTTCACAAAGGATCGCTCACATCCTCCCTGCGCATGGCGACTTGCTAGGTAATGCGCCTGCAAGAACATATGTGAAATAGTGGGCACTTGACGGATAAAAGAGTTTTAAGTTCTCAGGAAGTGCAACTTTCGATTGGGACTTCAAATTTTCATTTAAGCCTCATTCGCCCAAAGGACCCATTTAGAAGTGTTTTGTTTCAGGAACTGTGCGTTAATGGGTGATTGCTTCAAAATTGCATAACAGCCTCAACTCTCATGGTTTGATGGAAAGACATAATTTTTAAAGTAAATCGGCTCAACCTTTTCAGGTCCCAACACCACAGTTGACCTATCCGTACGTCAATCCTATTGGGATGCAATGCCAATGAGAAACAGCTTTGGATGGTCCCCAGTCTCCATTATCGATGACTTCTGATGACTATTGGCAAATGATGTTTTT